TTATCGTATAATTGTGCAGTGTTGCGGGAAGGCTACCAACGGTAGAACCATGTCTCTCCTTTTGCGAACCCCAAAGTGCTGCTGCTACATACTGCATGGCTTGGTCATGAGAGATGTGAGACATCTGTGCCCTTATCCAAATGAGTCCACCCACCCAGCACACGCTGCTGAATTTCAGAAAGTCATGAAACCATTTGGGTTTTTGCACACAACAACAAATGGCCAAAATAACTTGAACCTGACCAAGGATGCAAAAAGCTCCCCAAAAGGCGGCCACACACCTTGCATCACAGTGGGGCCCCGAACAAGCTAAAAGCCTCCTCTGATAACTGATCTCCTCCCATGACTCCATATGACACCCATGTAAATTTGATGAAATTTTGAAGATACATGTCCAAGTTACCACAAGTTCGGAAGCAGCCACTCTTTTCTGAGCACTTCTCTGTTTCGCATGCGAATGGACTGCCCCAAAAAAGTCGTTCTATGTCGCTTCCACTTCTTTGGGTGGCTTCTGTCATGTCTGGCTCGCTTCTCTTTCCTTCTGGCTTGCTTGAGATCTTTGTTCGCTCTTTGTGTCGCAGCGCTCGTCCCACTGATGATTTCCAACAAATGATGTGCATATATGTGCATCAATTAGCAAGCACATCGAGCAGTGTGAGGGATGAGGCACAGCAACTCTGTGCCCTTGACGTATTGACGTAGAGCAACCCACTGGATTTACAAGAACTCATCAAAACCACACCACAACAAACATAATCAACACATCCCATGTCATACCAACACACAAGCCAGCATGTGCCTCATCAAACATCACCACGTGGCCCTTCATTACGCGACAAGTCATCAAACCTCTTCATCACATCACTATCATCATCAACAACAGAAACAGCAACATCATCTTAGCCATCACCATCGCCGCACAAACACTTCAAAACACACAGTCCTAGACTCCATTCGAAGGACTTGAAGCTTCCGCCCGACGACCCTGAAATTGGGCGGTGTAGCCAGCTAGCCAAGATCTGCTACATTTTGGAATACAAGTGGCCGCCACGGATGCATATCCGATATCTGCATCAACTGAAACTGTGCGACGACTGTTAGCTTTTGGTTTTGCTATGCCTTCCCAACTGATGGAAGAATTACAGAAGATACTTGATATCCCCAATGTTGCCAACATTATCAAACTTTTGTGTATGTCGTCCGTCTTTCCTCCTGACCAGCGCCCAATTCAACCACTCTTTGTTGGCAAACTAGTCCAGTCTAGTCTAGACTAATGAGTCTAATCCATCTGCTAAAATATCAACACTGCTGGCCAAGAAAATGTCTCAACAATAAGTCACCAAAACCGAAAACAACAACTCAGCAAAAACGTGTCCTTTAACAATGGTCTCGCCCTACACGCACGGGCACACACACACAATCTCACACAACAAGAAAGTCCAACTGGGCATCCGCGCATACCACTATCACTGAGGAAGCGGCCGAAGCGCTTCCTCAACTTGCGAAATGCTGAGGGATAAACCCCACCCAAAGCGTATTGCCCTCATTTTCCGCAGCCGGGGATTGGTGCATCCATGTTGCAAGGCGGTCGGGGGGGGGGCAGCAAACAACAGTTGAGAGGAGATCTTCCACGAGAAGTGCTTGGCATCTGTGGCTGGGTTGTGGCATTGATTGGGATTGTGGGATCGGTTAGGTTGGCGCAAACTCATCTCATCACCATTTTCCACTGATTGCGGATACTTCATGATACCACTACATCCCCTCGTCACGGTGTTCCTGGCTCGACTGACCGGCCCAAAACAGCACTTGTTGCCTAAACCCTCTCACCTCTTCGAAAGCGCAGTGTCAGTCTGAAAGCACTTAGACTTTCGAACACCGAACCAACATGCAAAGTCTTCTGGAACCAACATGAACAAACAAGGCTTTTCTGGAAGCCGTGTTGACCAAAGGGGTTTCACCGGTGAAGGTAAGACCGGCACGGCCACCGAGGCGGTCGCTCCCAGCTCTCCCGTCCCTCCTTCGAGGCGGAGAGGTCCACCTAAAGGAGGACGGTGCTTCGGGCGAGACGGTGCTTCAGCTGAGGTTGAAAGAATTTGTATGTCGGATCCATAATCTATCCTATCAATCCTGAATCCTATCCAACTATTAGGATGTACAGAATTCGACACTGATCTATCTTGCGAGATCACTTCAAATCGGATGATTTTAGCGGGATATACAGTACTTCATCGCCATGGTCAGGGGATGTCAGGGGATCATTTGGGGCAGGCAAGAACTCTCGTCACTTAGTGCAAACATAAACAGCTCCACAAAAACAGCTCACTTAGTGCAATGCAATATAGCGTTTTTCGGGCCAAGTTTTGTTTCTTTGTTTTTTTTTTAGGGTTTCGAGTCGCACGCCGCAACAAGATTTTCACCACACGAATCAACAAGAGTCCAACCACATGGGGCGAGCACCACCATGGCCTGTCTTCTCGAATCAGCAGTCTACTCTCGTGAATCTTTCGCCAACCCATGTTTAACTTTTGGCTGACCGCATTCTCTAGATCTAGAATTTTCTCGGCCTGGCCCCTACCACACCTACAGGTGCGTTCAATAAGCCTTGTGCTTGCGTTTGTGTCTCTGAGACTCTGGTTGGGGTGGATGTTGAGCAGCTCCATAACAACAAAGGTCTTCCAACACCAGGCTTTCACATTCGCCCAAGCCCCCTGCCAAACATTCAAGAGGAATGACACGAGTTCAGCATGCGTTCAAGATGAGACAGTCAACAACTTGGTATAGGGTCCAAGATGTATTGCATGGCCAGCTTGATTGATCTGGATATACCAAGGTTAACGCGTGGGTCTTCCAAACTGCTTTAACAGTCAATCATCAAAGCTCCTCGTGAAGGACCGCATATCAAAGGACTGTATACCGTTGGATCTGTCGGATTTCTCGCCCCACACTTGGGCGAACTCGAGGACCAGGACGACAGGGCGAATTCGGACCATCTGACGAATGCCAAGCGCAATCAAGCCTGTTACGATGGCAACACCATGCCAAGTGCCGCCAAGCTAAGCGAACAATCAAGTCCCTTGAGCAAGTAGAACTCAACATGTCAAGTCCATGAACTGCGTGTTTTGTTTGTCACACCAACTTCCGTGAGAAAGCGGCCGCGCAAACAGGCCCCCGGACACTGTGATGGGACACAACGCCTGGAAGGACAAATAGGATTCGCGGACGAAACCATCAGCTGTTGAGATGTGGCAGCTGTGATCCATGTCCATGTCATGTCCCTTTCAAACATGTTGGTGAACGGAGGATTTAAAACCAGTAAAAATACTTCTGGCCGGAGCACACTTAAGCCCGTGAACTCGATCCAGTGTCATTGGAACATCTTCGCTGGAAGATTTGTCTAGCCAATATCCATCTTCCATGCTTGCAATCCTTTTGCCAGCAATTACATACCAAGCAGGATACCACGCCACGCAAGCAACAAGAATCTACAAACCAGTCAACAAGTGGAGCAAGCGTACGATGAGACTTGGTAATTAAGATGCTGGGAAATCTCTCCCCAAAAACACTTCCCCCAAAAATCTGACACAGCAAAAATATGTCTGCACAGCACCGCACAGCACCGCACCGCACCGTGCACCACCACAAACAAGCCGCCCCAACCGAGCCGACGGTTTCGGCCCCTGCGCCGCGCCCGCCTCCGGCGCGATGCCCATGGAGCTGTCGCACGCGATCTCCCACCTGGACCGGAGCCACATAGCGAGCGTGTGGCGAGCGTGCGGTGTCTTTGGGCGCTGTCGTTTGGGTGGATGGAGAAGGACACCGGGAAGACCATGAGTGGGAGAAGCAATGCTTTTGGAGATGAGACAGAGGGCACCATTCTAGAAACCAGGATGCAATGAGGACCTACACTAGGATCAAAAAACTACAGTAGGGCTTGAATTGACATTCTGAATCGTGATAAGTCACAAGCATGATCACAGTTGATATCTGTTGATCACAGAAAACCACTTCTGATTCTCTGAAGATCCAGAGGTCCAAACACATTCCAATTGTCCAGCGATCATGAGTTCATATTATATTATAATGTGCATGTTTGTGCCCATGTTTGTGGCCTCAGTCTCAAACCAACTCACTTGAAGTCTCTACAACATTTCACCAGACTGGGTTCCTGATGCAAACTCCCTGGCTCACTGACATGGAAGTGACCACCCCAGCCTTAGTTTCCTATAAAGGTATTTCTTGTCGTGGCTTGTCCAAAATCCACCCCAAAAAAGAGGTTGTGCAGGTGATCTGCTTTTCCTGGGTAGGCCTGGATCCACAGAGGATTGGATCCACTCTTCGCCACTTGGATCCCACGGTCTCTCCGAAGGCGTCTCTCCGCGGACCACTGGGCCCTCCGGACATGGACTCCACACTGGAGCTGCGCACCCTCCGCGGTGGGCATCGCGGTGTTCGCGCGGGGCGCGCGCAAAGAAGCGATCGAGGAGGAGTTAGTTGGTTCGGAAGCCGGGTAAAGGATAGAGTTCGGGACCTCAACACCACCTGATCCGCAAAAAACAGCTCATTGCATGATGGTCAGTTTGAAGCAAAGATTTCAAACCGCAGTTACAATGAGTGGAAGGAAAAGGACCAAACCAAGTCCAAGAGCAAATCCAAAGCAAACCAATCCAAATCCAGGTTGTAAGGATGGTTTCCTAGGTAGGGGACATCCAAGCTCCGCTCTTTTCTCCGTGGATGTCCGCAGGGCTGAAACTTGAAACCTATGCTCGAAGCAGCGCTGCCCGACCCTCAGGCGAAGTCATAGTTTCTTCTGTGAGGATCAAATTCAAAGGCCCTGTTCATCATCGCAAGATAAAAACCAATTTAGAAGTTGTTGCGGGAAAGATGCCAGAAATTAACATGCAGCATGTTTCAATGTACTGTTTGAAGTTGGTATCATTAAACCAATCTTCCAACATCCAACCATCCTTTTCTTTTCAATCCACCAGCGCTGACCGCTTGAACGTCTTTCTGGGATGAACGTCTTGAAGGCCGGGCGAGAAAATTCGCGCCAGTTGCCCGAGCGTCCTATACCTGAGATTTACTCCCAAATTTCAGGGCGAGAAAGCCCACCGTGGAGAAGATCAGGTAGAAGCACCAAAGGATCACCTCAGGGAGCGATCCTTTCACTTTTCATCACCTTTCTCAATTATGTTTCCTGAGGCTATGTCATCTCACTCGTGCTGATTGCAAGCGTGTCTAATTGTTCGTGTGTTTTCCTCTGATGTGTTTCATTTTCTTCCTCTTTCGGGCTGGAGAGAAACACTCTAATCGTCTAAGACCCAGTTGGTGCTGCTACAAGTCCGGTCTCGACATGAAGATCCTAAAGGTCGATCTTGGCGAGGCGAAATCACGGCCCGCATGGCCCGCATGGCTCTTGAATTTCTTGGACCCTCTTTTTGGACAAAGGTCGGTTCTGTATTTTGGTGCTTCGTGGCTCCCAGCTTGTCTTCCCAGCAGCGATATATATATATAATGTTATAATAGTTATATTGTTATGGCAATGCCACCATGAAAGACTGTAGTACTTATAGGTTTGCTAGAACAAATCTTAATGGAGCCAAAAGGATTTAACTCCTGCATGCCTCGAGGAGCTGTCATCTGGCTACATTTTATGATATATAGGCCTGTGCAGGTGGTCTAAATCTTAGAGCAAACCCTGCGTTGATCAAGCACGTGTGAAGGTTCACCGACACTCGAGGCAAGATCCTGCCCTTCGGCCCATTTCATGAAGCATGTTGTCAGTGTGTTCTATTGAGACCTGGATGGTCTCAGACTGGCAATCTGCCAAGCATGAGTTCAACTGCACAACACAACTCAAAACACCGTGCATACCCAGCAGTGTGAATGTGTGGAGACCACTCTACACCCTGATGGATGAACCCATTCGTCCCAAAGGTACCCCGAAGCACAAGTCCAAAAGCTGCCAATTAGGTGAGTTCCGCGGAGCGTTTTGGCCCAGTGGCGAAGCAGCCCCCCTTGGTGGAAGGTATAAATATCCTCACCTCGGTCTGACAGTTGTGGCAAGACACGGGTTTAGAAACACATGCGCACTCACCCCCACCACACCCAACTCTCAAATCTGAAAGACAAGTCCTGGCAGCCTGTCAGATTCTTCAGGAACAGGGCCCTCTAAGGGTAGAGCAAGAGCTTAAGGCACATAATTGAACAAGAAGCAATACAACAGCCTTTCCTGTGTCCCTTGAAGTGCCAGGAGGGGAACACAAGAAGCGCCTCAAATGTTCATTGGAACCACTTCAGGTCCCCTTCTTTAGGCTCCCTTACCACAGCTTTGTCTACCACCCCCACAACTAGCTAGAAAGTAATGTCGTCATCCTTGAAACCGCACTGACTGTAGGTTGCAACTTCGTTGGAAGGAGGATAATTAAGCACCAATCCGACTTCATCCAAATGGCCGGAGCCGACGTGGATCAAAAAGCCTTCAATCGCCTTCTCGCCTGCAGGATAGCCTTGCTCAAAGGTATCTTCGAACTCCACCTGCTCGGTTGGTTGAGTGAAAGTTCTGCATGCAAATGAAGGTCAACATGCGAGAACAAAACGAAACGTAAAACAAGTTCCTGCCGCGCTAGGTTTTTCATTACAAAACGCATGCGTATCATTTTCATCGTGACTTCTGATTTTTTTCAAAATTGTCTAAACGTTGTCTTAAACCTTTCGAGTTTAAATATCGAATCTCAATTCAATTTTAAACGCTATGCTTCAGTTATGGGCCCTCTTCCTAGACAAACATAATGAACGCATCCCTAAACCACACATCGTTGCTATGTACACCGATTAGGTCTTTCACACCCACCCCCATCCCACACCCCTCTTAGTCTAAACCTCTCTCTTCCTTGCATCTTATCCAGATCTGAACACCAGCATTCCTGCTGCTAGGCGATACATTGGATGGGTGAGGTTAATGAAGTATCATTCAAGCTCACCACAAAAGCCCTCATTCCTGCTATTGGGCGATACATTGGAGGAGTAAGCTCACAAAAACTGCCTCGATAAGTCCAGCCATGGTGAAGTACATGAAGGTGCACCAGCGGATCCACGCCAAGTAGGGCGTCACGGTGCAGACCTTCACCACGATGTTGGCGAACAACATGTACACCTGGCGACCCCTGCGACCATCTGGGGCGTTTCAAGGAGGGTGTGTGTGTGTGTGGTGTGTGATGGCGGGCGGTTGATGAGTGTGATGAGTGTGGTGATCATAGAGAGTATGGAGTACAGCTTCAGCCCTCAAGCCAGAAAGCCCACAGGAACTTGGGGCTGCACTTCCTTCGGAGTGGACATGCAAGGCCGGGACAAGCTGGACACACAAGCTTACACACACTCGCCAAGCTTTATAAGTGGCTTTGGTCCCGGGCTAAGTTGCCCAACAACGACAACAGCGCCATGTTGAAAGCATTGCCCTCCACGTCAAGTTGGGCTCAGAAAATGAGGCACTTGACTTGGAGGGTTAGACTCTTAGACGACAACATAAGACTCCCTGATGAAATTCAAAAGGATGGTTATACCCTCCAACAATGGTGGCATCAACAATGTGGATGGCCCCATTTTGGGAGGACGATTTTTCCACATGGTTCAAACAAGGGGTAAAGTCCACTTCCATGATTGTTGGATCGAGGGAATGTTAACATAAACGATTCTTCAGTGCCTTAGTAGATTCCCTTCTCCTCACTTCAGACGAGAGGCGATGATGTAGCCGGCGCTCAGAACGAAAGCCACGTCCTGCTTGTTTTCTCGCTGGCGGACTTTTCTTTGGTGAAAAGAGTAAAGAGCAAGAGCAATGCCACGTCTCAAAACCCAAAGTGGTGTATAAACACGAATAAACATGCGTGAATAATCAAGTGCATAGATCAGCTTGGGCATTCAACATGTTCCGTTTTGGTTTTGCAGCTTTACTGGAATAATCTTCTTGATTAATTGCCAAGTTGGCTATTGTATAACAGGGCAAGCAAAGCACTTAACAAAAGCACTGCGCTACTGAACCACTGACAATCACCTCCTTTAAGATCCTTTAGTAAACCCACACACCACACAAGTCCAAATCCCCAGGTTCAATTGATGAGAAGACGGCCCCCGACTGCTTCTGCCTGATTGGGTGCCAGCCGTGCGCACATCTGCACCAAAGCACTGGAACACATGTGGTGACTCACCTCGGTGAGAGATACGATGATGGAGACGGGAGAAGAAGTGGTCCAAACATGTCCAAACACCCAACAAAAGGTTGAAGAACCCTATAGAGCATTCGAAAGGTATCCGGTATCCCACCATACGGGTCCTTTTGTTCAGGTCACTTGTATAACCTCTCTTGGAGCAAGCCAGTTTTTAGTAGGTTCATGTAGGTTCTTTCTTCAAAGGCCTTGGAAGGCCACCGGTGATCCCGGCCTTCAGATGGACCCCGCGGCGCTCGAACTCCAGATGGACCCCGTGCGGAGAAAGGACTGGTGATCACTGGGGGTGATCACTGGGGCGTCCGAAGCCCTTTCGACTGAGGTGGGGATGAAGGGCTTCTGACGCTGTGAACTTCCAAGTGAGTCTATGCTTCTTTGAGTTCAACTGGGCATCATGTTGGTTCATGTTCCTCTAGAAAGTCGGCGATGAAGGGAAAACATGCTTCTTTGTGATCCCATGCACAAGTCCACCCGGAACAATTCCCTTAACACTCCACCCCAAGCTGTCTGTTTCCATTCAAGGCTAGGCAGCTAAGAAGGCCATGGTGGGAAACCATTGCCCGCTCAGCGGCAGTCCTGCAAGATACGTTGCCTGAGAAATCAACTTGCGGCGGGCGTGAACAGTTGCAAATCTGCGGAGTGTCTACTCGTGTCTATGATGCTGCTTCGCATTCTCCTCAAACGCTTTGCTAAGAAAGGAGTGCTCCAACCTGCTCTAGAGTGTCTACCATTGAGTGCTCCAATCTGAAAAAGCTAAAAATACAACAAGGAACCATGCTGCTGCTCCTGCTGCTGGTGCTGGCGATGATGGTGAAAAGGAGGATGGACAACAAATGACAAAACTTGCATGAATCAGCGCTGCTACTAGCTCTGGTCCTATTATCTTAAAAGAACCCTAAACACCATCAACCCAACAGTAGTCCAGCTAAACGAAGGATAGACCCATAAGCTGAGCTTTCCTCGGACCAGCCAGGTCAGTCTCAACCTGCCAAGCTGCAATGCCCGAAGCCAGGATGCCATTCAACGCGCACACCACCGCCTCCACTTCCCAGGCGTGATATGTTTTGGAGGGTGGACCACAGGATCTAGGAAACCAACCTGGGTGGATCTACTCTACTGTGCTGGTGTGAGAGTAGAATGAGTTGGTTGATCACACTTCACTCACTTGTAACACACAAAAGTAGCACAAAGGATTTATAGTCCCAAAGAATTCAAGAAACGATGACCAACAAAGGTCACATCAAACAGCTCCAGAGTGGCCTACTGTATTTTGGCTATTCATTAAGATCATTAAGTCATAGACACCTCCGCAAGCCTCCCCTTGACTGCTTCCCCAAAAGCGTGAGGCTACCGGATTTACAAATTCCACTTCCCTTAGCTGCCTGAATAGCTAACTCCGCACATGATGTGTGCCAACCGATGGACGTGAAAACTAGGCCTCACTGGCAGCATTGGCCAAGTGATATGGGAGTGCACCATAGAGTCGCGCAGCGGACTCTTTGGTATAGTACTGGCCTAGGCAGGACACCATCCTTCAAACCGTCACCAAGCGCTTGATCCACCACACATGATCAAATCACTCATCAAATCAGAACATCAAGCAACCCCTCTAATTACTGCATGTACCCCAGGGCAGGTTGGAAACAAACACATCCTAATCGTGAAGCCTCCACAAGAATCCTTGCATCCTATCTGTTCTGTTAAAGAGTCCATCGACTCTACTTCGAAGCGAACCTTCATTTCATTTCATGTGTGGCATATCCTCCGGCTCCAGCACCTTGCAAAGCCCAACTCCGAATTGCTCGGAAGAAATCCAGTGCCCTGAGTTCTTCCATGCGTCCTTCCGTCCGAAGTCCTTCCCATCCGCTTCGGGCCGTCCGCTTCGGATCCGAGGGGCGATCGTCGATGAAAAAGGGCATCGCGCAATTGGGAGTGACCGTCTGGGCCAGGACCAGCAGAAAGAGAACCTCGGGGCAGCAGAGGTCTGAAGGTCTGACATGACTCACGGATGACCAGAGGCGATGCAGCGGTGTGTGCTGGAAACAGCGGCGGAAATTGGAACATGGAGACAAACCATGATGCATAGAGGATCATAGAGAGTATCCCACGGCTAGAAACTCCATGAGTGAGGGAACAGCATGAAATAGATATAGATAAACACCCAATGACACCATATAGAGTAGATGATCTTCATGTTATTTCATTGATTTGATGTTGCTGGAACGAAGCCCCGGCTTGAGCCAGCACAATGGCTACCAAGCTGCTCCCACGCGGTTCTCCGGCATGCTGGAGTGGCGCTGCAGTGGCAGCGGGAGAACATGCCGAAGGCCAGTAGGGGCCTCGATGTAGCTGGTCTCCATGTCAAAGTAAACACATCCTGAGCTCTTGCAGAACTCCGGAACCATCCAGAAACATCTTAGAAACTTGAATCAGTAGAACCCAAAGGGGGGTGATTCATGGAGAGAAAATCCTTTGGACCTGAATCCCATGAGTCATCGTTTAAACATTCAAATCATTCAGAGAACAAACATAACACGAGACCCGCTCTCCGCTCACCCATGGCGTCCGCAGTGGCGTCCGCTCGGTCGGCCAAGGGTCCCATGAGCACTCCGGTCAAGAAATGCAAGCCCACACGGGCTGCCAGGGTCCCTGGAGAGCGCAAGGTGCTTCTGAGCTGCTGCCGTTGTAGAGTTCGATACCTCGCAGACTCAAAGGGTATCAGTTGATGGCGCACGTGCCCGCGTTGCAGGAGGAGGTTTGGATGACTCTAGGAGTTGAGGTGGGGGGTCTGGTCTCCGAAATCAATGCAAACAGCTGAGGAAAAGGCTAAAAAGGGTTTATCGTAGATTTATGCTTTCCTAAGCACTGGCTCCGGCATTACTCTTTCGAAGTCGATCCAAGTTGCTGGCGTAGGAATCCCGGCCTCTCACCACGTGAGTTGGGAGGGGTTCGGCGGCCAGCTTGGAATGCACATCGGTTGAGTCCGCACATTCGATGCCGTTAGAATGAAAGACTCGTTGTGATCTGAACGCCACATGGACAACATGGATCAAATGATACACAAGACACATTCAAGTGCAGCCAAAAGTCACCTCCAAAACATGCCAAATTATCCCTACCCATTCTGGGGGGGGGGGACCTGAAAAATTGTAACTTACATTTTCCCCTAACATATACCTAACAAAATGTAAGTTACATTTGTTAGGCAAACGCCCAAAAAATGTAACTTCTTTAAGTTACATTTTTCAATATGAAAATGTAACTAAAAGGGGAAAATGTAAGTTACATTTTTCAGGCCTTTTCCAGGGAAAATGTAACTTGCATTAAGTCACATGTCTCATGGTTGCAGAATGCTGCACAGAATAATGAATGCGTCCTTTTCTCTGCATCTTGCTGCGTTTTTCGCATGTCAGGCTTTTTGCCTGCGTGGCCAATACCCTCATGACCATAAAAAGCATTTCCCATGAAATGCCACCCTAGTCACTCAAAAGGTTGGCTGGCACAACCTGAGTGACCTGCAACAAAAAGGACAGCAAAGCCATGTGGCCAGTGTCTCTGCCTTCGGCATTCACTTTGCCACTAGGGATGAACTGTTCCACTCTGTAGAACACAGCCCTTGAATGGCCTTTCTTGTCGCTTGAGGATTCCATCAAATCAAAGAACAATGCACACTGCACGGTCAGCGGTGCCCACGTGTGCAATTTCTTGTTGACTCTGATCGTGGCATCTTCCTTCAGCAACTTGATGCCACGCTTCTCGTACACGCCGGGGAGCTGGCGGAAGAAGGCCTGCAAATTGCGCTGGCCAACCTGTCCCTTGGGGAAGTCCATGATGCTGAATCCGACATTTTCTGTATTCTTCACAGCCTCCAAGCCGTCCTTGCCCTCCTTGGACTGCTTGCTCTCCTTGCCATCCTTGAGCGGCTTTTTCTCCTGGGCAAGAAAGACTGTGAGCGGATTGACGTCGCCTTCCTTCACCTGTTTGAGAAACGCCATTGTCTTGTCAGACAGGGTAAAGTAGCACCTGCCACCTCGATCGCCGATGTGCTGATACGGGATTTCACAAATCACATCCTGCTGGGGATTGGTCATCTTGCTGCCCGACATCAGGGACACCACGTAGAAGCCACTGGCATCTTCATCACATTCCTGGTTGTAAGATGAACGCAAAAACACCAAAAACAAAACAGTATCTTTACCTCCCTAAATGTAACTTACATTTAGGGACATCAAAGTGAAATGCAAAAATGCAAGCTTTCTACCCACTACAGGATACTAGAGGTATAGAGGTCAAATGGCGTATAATGGTGGATATAAAATGATATAAAAGTTAAATAACTCATTCAAGCTACTTTGGCAGGAGGAACCCAATCAAGGTAAAGTGCCAAGACCCTGGACACTGCCTCTGCCGGTGCATTGATGCCCACAGACTTGCTCACTCGTATCCGTCTAGCCACAGACTGGTCACGAGCCACTGCTCCTCGGAAAACGGCGAACACCACAACGATTGAGAATGAAACGATGCTTCCAATCACCTCTTTGATCAGCACCAGCTGGACATCCTTCGAGCAGATCGGTCGGAAAACTGTTGATGGAAGAATAGGAGGTTCCTCATCTTTCGCCACGCCAGATTTGTCCGACACCTGCTGAACAAGGGATTGCTGTGCGCTGAACCAGCTATACATGCGACCAGTCCTGGCCGCAGTATATCTGTTGAATTGCTTCGCCCGGCAGAGTTGCGACTTCATCACATTGTAGAGATTTTCGTTTGGTCGCTGGCCCTGTACTTGCGTCTTCGACCTGTGCGCGCAAACAGCCACAAAACCATCCAAAAATATTTTAGACAAAGAGATCAAACATGATGAAACAAGCAGCTGCACTGACAAAACCAGCTTAAAGCGACACAAACCATCCAAAAAACTATGCCCCGGACAAAATCTTCTCAGCGATCCGGACTTTGTTGATGAACCTTTTGAGGGGTTCCAAAAGAGCACGAAGTCGTGGTAGACACCCCGTAGCAAACACCTCCTGGTCAGGACAAAAAATTGGATTTCTCTGCACTTCTGCCAGGATGTCCGAGAAGCAATCCTTGCTCTTCTTGCATCTCCCTGGCATGGACTCTTCCTGGGGCTCGTTCTCATCCTCTCTGGCTGGGGTGTTCTTGTCTGCACTCTTGTCTGCCGATGGGTTCTGGGCCAGGACTTCTTCCAATTCACGAATCAACGCCTGTCGATCCTCCAACGTTTGAAGCCTCTTTTCTGGCTCTTCTTCTTCTGGACATGGTGGCAAGCCCAGCTGTTCCTCCATGGTTTCCTCAGCGGCGTCACACTCCTCAAAGTCGTCCATGTCCATGCAGTCCTCTTCAAAGAACAAAGGTTCCTGCCAGCATGAGCTGAGAACATCTGAGAACACAAGTTTCATCAAATATCAGCAATCCACAAAGTTCACTGACCTCAACTATCTGAAGTTACATTTTATTTCGGTGACAGACAGCGGTTTCAGAGAAAATGTAATTTCCTAGCTGTAAATGTAACTTAGGTGTGTGGAGGCCTTGGGGGTGTGCACTTTTCACACAACAGGTAACATCAGGTAACTTGGCTTTGCCTGTAGGAAAAGTCTTCATTCAACCAATAAGTAAATACATGTAGAATAGAATAATAAAATAGAATAGTGAGCATGTATATATTAGTATACAGTAGTACAGTATATTATAGTAAATTATATTCTATTATATTATGGTATGGTTCCTGCCAGCAGGATGACTGTCATCAAATATCAGCAATCCACAAAGTTCACTGACCTCAACTATCTGAAGTTACATTTTAGGTCAAACGTGGAAAAAATGTAACTTACCTGTTGTGAGGATATGGGACAAACACAGTGAGGGTAAACTATGATAAACCATGATAAACCACGGTCCTCCTCTTCATCCATCTCCAGGGGCATATCACCTGCGTGTTCTGCATCTCCGCTCCTGAAACGCTTCTTGAGGAAATCGTGTCCAAATGCTCCCCACCATTCCTTCACATCATGGTGAATCTGCTCACACGTGAGTCCTTTGGAAATCCAGCAATGGAAGGTGACTGCATTGTCCAGACTCCGCTTTGCAATGAGGGTCAACTCTTCCTGGCTCACTGGCGTTTCTCGTCTCGACTGAAAGTCTTCCCACATCGCACACTTGGCGTACTGCTTTGCGTGAACCATGTGAGCACCGTAGATGCCATCCTTCATGGTGTTATCACCGTGCTGGTAGCTCTTCACTTGCCCGAAAAATTTCTCGATCAAGCTTTCCTCACGCGCTGATGGCATCCAGGGCTCTTGCTGAGGCCAATGCACAGATGCCAGAACAATGTGTCCAGCGAGATCCATCAGGGCCCGCAGATTTTGCGCTGGCAGCCAATGCTTTGACCAACCCTTCTTGTTCTCCTTCATCGTTTGCGAAGTCTGGATACAAAGAAGGTAATATGCCATGAGCGCATTGGACACTGCCTCTCTCAGGCTGAAGGCAACGGACGCAGTCCATGCACTCGTGAGCAGCGAGCTCACAAATTGCGGCACAATGCATGACAATGAGCTCCAACAATCCTGAACATATGCGGCGTTCATGCGTCTTGCACCATCAACGTCTGACTGGGGGTCATCTCCAGAGAGTGCCCTCAAGGATAGTCCTCCATTCACTAATGGTGTCAGGCTCACAATGAACGCTCCCCAGCGGATCATTCTTGCACCACTGCAGAGATGGCTCCCAAATCGCTTCATAATGTGACGATTGTCATTGCAACCACTCAGGAAGTGCTCGCCATAAAACAAAGCCTGGTATGTCCACATCGGAATGTTTGGCAGTGGTTTCTTGGTGCACTGGCTGAAGAACGGCACATGCATCTGAGCCTTTGGAAGCAATCCAAGGAACAGTGCGTTCACACTCGTGTTGGAAGAGCCCCCGTCCCATGCGCCGCTGAGTGGCGGAAGATCAGAGTTGCACCAGGTTGACACTTTCCAAAGGAATCCATACTCCATCATGGTAATTTTGGCGCCTGCCATTGTCTCGGTCGAACCTTTGGGCTTGGGTTTTCTGGGGAGACAGTCAACTTGGTAGACGTGTCTGTTCGAGTCTGCCCTGCTAATGACATAGTGCACAGACATTTTTGCTAGCTTTTCTTGTGGCATGGAATCCTCCTCAGCGGGTGAGGGAATGTAGGAAACGTCCTCGTCCGTGCTCTTGTACCCGCCAATGTAGCCCATTGCGGAATCTTGTCTGAGGCCACAAACAATTTCCCACTGAGGAAACCACACTGTCTCGTCCAGCACCACCACAAAATTCCTCGTTCCGAGAACATTCAGTGCCACCAATGCAGCGCGACAAGATTGCTGCAGATCATCGAAGCTCCTACTAGCAACCTTAGGCGCAGGATGACGCAGGCAGCTTTAAAAAATCAATAGTATTTATT